ATAACTTTCAACTGAACAGATTTTCTATTAGCTTCAGATCTTGATCAAAGTTTGGCACCCAGTTCATAGGAGTGCTTATATTGATTTTCTGACATCTTGTTTTCTGTAAAGATTTATTGGTAGGTTTGCAAATGTGTATCAGACTGTGCAATCTCTCCACGAGTTGGTTTTGAAACCCAGTAAGGGATTCTGAGATACATTACCAAGGATATTATTACAAGATAAATCATTTGCTTCATTGAACACATACAACAATGCATATTTCCACTGAGATCAGTGACCTTTGATGTGTATCACCAGTGATCAGTCAAGTAGAAACAGTCAAAATATTTTATCAGTTTTTCTCAATTTTTGCATGATATTTTCATACAGGACATCTGTTGTTCAAACTCAGGGAAGACTTTATACTGATGAACAAGGTGACCAAGTTTGATGAAGTTTGGAATAGAATTAGTAAAGTTATCATGCACACAATAACAATTATTAATTTTTCCCTTAATATACCTTTCCCTTCCATCTTTGATGGTACGGGCAAGGTAAAAATGACAAGTTCCCAAACTCAAATAAACTTACTGATTAGTTTGGACAAAAGTTACGTAATTTCATTCTTGGTAATATGTCACATTTGTTCGATTACCAATGACATTCGGGGCATTTTGAGCTAAAAACTACCAAGAAAAAAATTGTGACTTTACCTCATCAGATACTTTGCTGACATCAGCATCAAATCCTAAGTTAGACTCATCAACCATACGCAAGGCTTTCTGGAATGCTTCTTCAAACTTTCTTCCTACAGCCATCACTTCACCAACACTTTTCATCGAACTGCCAATCTGTGAAACACCACGTAGTAATAAATATACAATGCTGTGCTTTGTAGTGATCATGAGTAACTTAGTGGATCGAATATTTAGAGTTCAAACCATACTGAAAAATGGGTTGATCCATAAACTGGGCAAGTATGAAGAGAACAAAGCCACAGATAGAGAATCATTTACTAGTGAATGCGAATATTGGTTATAGTTTTCTGGTGCTTTGTTTGAATGAGTCTGGTTGACACCGGGACAAATTACTATATCGTATTTGCCCTCTCAGTAGTGCATGTGCATATTAAGTAAATTACAGAAGTGTTTCATCAAAAGTCATATTTTAATAATTCAGTATACAATACTGTATTTACTCTATAAGTAGTGCATGTGCATAGTAAATTACAGAGGTGTTTGTATAGTCAAAATATGTAACATTTAAATGATTCAGTATACAACCAATGCCATTTTTGGTTTATACACTACAGTTCTCGCGAAAGTTTTTGGCTTCACTTCAGCTTCGCTTCAGCATCGCATCGTTATGGCTTCATCGTCGCATCAATGTCGCGACATTAAAAAGTTTGGCGGTTATCGCTTCGCTTCATTGTGGCATCATTATGGCGACAATGTGGCATCAGCATCGCTTCATCAATGTACTAACAAGCCGAAGGACCATGAAGCTAAATAGAAGTCCCGCGCATGGACTGAGTGAAAGAAAATATTCCTAAGGCTAAAACAAAACTTAATATTACACCTCTTTGTGCATTTGTCAATTTTGCATATATTTGGTATGACAGTATGTTCATAAATATCTGGAAAAATCTCGTCTTACGTTAATAATTTCATGTGTTTGAAATGTCTAGCGACAGTGTCCCAATACTTTGTTTGAAATATCGATCCCCGTTGGTTTCTCCAAACTGTCCCGACGTCTGTCATTCAACACAATCAGCATTTATTTATCGTAATTTATGGGGATCATGTCCCGTAATTTGCTGGCTGTGAAACCAAATAATTAAACAAGTACTATTTATTATATTTTTTTTATAAATTATATACCTCGCAAAACTACAACTGAGCATAGAGTATCTTGGTGAAACAGTCGCCTTGAAATCGATGGAACCGGCTTCAACCAAAGACACTAGTGTCTTTGCTTCAACTATCCATTTCTCACCTTGAAATAAAAAAAAATCGAAGAGCATCGGGGGATATATTAACCGGTGTTACCAATCGCTAGCTTTATTTTATTTGAATTCATAAAATTCATGAGTTTTTTGACATTTGTTGGCAACTTCGGCACTAAAAATGGTTGAAAATGTGGGTGTGGTTCTCTCGCAAAGTCCTGTTGATAATACAGACAAAACAAAACATTTAACAGTTTTTTTTTACCTTTTTACTGACTTTAGTAAATTTCTTCAAATCCCATCTTGGTATTTTCACAACGCAGTAATCCAAACTTGGTTCAAAACACGCCGTAGTTGAGTTTGTCACAGAGTTTCTCAATACGGGTAAGTGTATACCCAACGACAACTTGGCAGCAACATACGCTAGTGGATATCCGGTAGCTTTACTCGCAAGAGCTGAACTACGAGATAGTCGAGCGTTCACCTCAATGATGAAATACTGCAAACAAAATCAACATTGTATATCAGCAATGTATTTTTAATGGTTTTATTCAAATAAGGAAAGTGGGAAAAATTCTTAACGAGTGGCCTGCAGCACAGTGACACTGAACATGTAGATCACTAAATCAAGAGACATTTTCGCCACATGCTTCTTGTCCAAGAGAAATTTGTTATTTATTTTAAGTTTAATTAAATATAAGCACATTATTAATCTGCATGAATCTGATTTTTACCCAGCAGCAGTGTTATGAATTCCATTACAGGCAGATTATTATGTTGGCATCTAGAGTTGCAATGTACACTTGATGAACTCTTAATTCATATAGCTGATTCACCCACCATGAGAAGTGGCATCACCCCTTACCAAATATGGTATGAAGGCTTACCGTTGCTGTTAAGATTGGAACCAACAAATATGGTGAGGGATGAAGAAAAACAACCTGATTTATAAGACTGCCACAAGCCGCAAAGATTATACTAAAATGATTTTACAAATTTGAACATTGCCTGCTGTAGCTTTTTTTTCTGATAGATATTGGTTATAGCTGGCCATTCGTGGAAGCTTAACTTAGCAGTTGATGTGTTAAAGGAATTGAATTCCTCCACAATACAACCAGAGTTATGCATGCATGCATGCACGCACACACACCCACCCACCCACCCTTCTCGTCTGCTGTTGAATTATTCATACTTTACTTTCCAATGCGACTTAATTTCACTTGTTTTTTTTTTTTAATTTTGGGGTAATTAATGTCACCAGCGATTGAGTGATAACAAATCAGAGTGCAGCAAATCGGGGTTGATCTTCCCGACGTACGCCGTGACTTGTTTTGTCACATTGTTGCCGTTGCGTGCAATGGGCAAATTATTGCTACACTAGTTAATTTTTTTTTTGATTTGGAGGCTCTGCACCTTTGAAAGACTTCGCAACATATTGCAGACTTCCGTTTTTATCACTGTCTTTGTATGGCTAACAAAAGCGGGATTACCTTTCGATCAATACATGTTATTGTTTGAAATACGTGCAAGACGAGACTGACACTTGTAAACAAAAACATAAGCCTCACGGGCGAGTGACCAAGCGTCACGGACAAAGGGCAAGCATCACGACCGAGTTTCCAAGCGTCACGGTACCGTGTCGCTTCAGAGGCCTGGGGAGAACACTGCACACACACACCCACACACACCCACACCCACGCACACACACACACACACACAAAAGCTATGTATCCCAGTACATCATGCGTTGTGAGTTCATAGCACAGAATTACTCAACTTGGGAGAACAGAAATTTCATCAGAAACGTGTCCAAGACCTTCAACGAAATCTTGTTAAGTGTGAAAACTTCAGTTCAACATTGGTAATGTGCCAGAATTTTCCCCAAAAAATGTGTTGCTAACTTTTTGTCCATATTTTTTTCTAGGCTTATAGGTTGATTAAAATTTACAAAAACACACGCAGGTTTATTTTTTAATGTGGTCATATTAAATTTGCAAAGAGTTAAAAACACCATTGGAGTCAAAGAATTTGTGACTTGCAATGACAACTGGAAAATTTTACTAATTACACAAATCTAAATCTAAAATGGAAAACTGCTAAAAGAAATCAGTTGTCATAGCAACACATATCAGACCAGACTTAAGTCGCCACACAATATGCATACAGTTTTAACAGCCCCATATCACACAAGGTTAATTCAACGCTATATGAATATTTATTAAAGCAGTGAGTTAATGAGGCAGGTGACGACTACTTGAAATGTCACACACTGGGTTTTTACCTCAATATCTCCATTCTGAAACAGACAAAAGATATGGAATTATGAATACATGCGTTTTAATTAATGCACGTTCGCTGAAAGGGTTGAAAAATCCAACAATTGGACAGGTAACAAGACGAGCAGCCTATCCGCTGAGATAACTCCGCTGTTAGCAATGCACATTTCAATTAAAGAACAGAAGATATCATTAGAAAATGAACAATATGTATAGTATCAAAACAATCAGACTTGCGGTTTTCAACAAGAAGTGGAAAATATCACCTTTTACCAAAAATTACAAAAATATTCATCAAAATTAGAGAATTGAAGATACCGTATTTGTCTTCAGTTAAGCGCCACCTTCAATTAGGCGCCAGTGCCACAAAAACTTTGTATTTTACACCTCAATTAAGGTAGAGATGCAGTTTATTTGGCTTGCTTTTTAATTGAGTAATTAGACAATGAAGATGGTATTATATATCCAACATGTTATATATTTTCTGAAAGCTTATTATACAAACTTTGTAAAACTT